CCTGTGCTGCTGTTCTAAGGACAGCTGTCTTTTAGTTCATCATTGCTCATTCTTAGCATGACTATTTTGCTATTTCATAAATCTAAGCATCACAGGTCATTACCCCTCTATACCTCTACCTGGCCCCCTTTCCCATTTTCCTTTATTTCCTTTTACTCTCTTTTTTTTTTTTTTTTTTTTTTTTTTTTCTCCGGTACCTCGAACCGAACTCACGACCTTGCGCTTGCCAGGCAGGCGCTTTTGCCGCTGAGCTAAATCCCCAGCCCCCAACTCTCTGTCTTTGAATGAAATGCTAACGACCAAATACAAAATAACAGGGAGCATAATTAATATAAGCCTGGAGCTTATGAACAGATAATGGTATCATTCGCCCAGATTTCCCAGGACTTGTGATGCAAAGGGATAATAAACAGGAAAGTTTAAAACAAGAGGACTGGGGATATAGCTCAGTGGCACAGTGCCTGCCTGGCAAGTGCAAAGTCATGAGTTCAATTCCCAATACCCACCCCCCCAGAAAAACAACCCCCTTGCCAAGAAAACAAAAGCATTATTCAGATCCTAAAGGGCTGCTCTCTATAACCTAAGCTCCTCTGGAGTTCACCTGAGGCATAAGCTATCGTTTACGTAAGGAACCCTCAATAGCTCAACTGCAACTGTTCCCCATTTCCTCTTTTTAAAAGTCCTACTTTTTGCCAACTCAGACACAGAGGGATCTTGCAGATGTACAAAGTATGACTGAGAAAAACATGGTGAATGTTACTGCTCAGTGCTATCCAATGGAAAGGCAGAGATCGATTGAGCCTTAGTGACAGTGTGACAAGTCTCAACTGTGATTCCATTCAAAGCATTTTAACAACAGATGGGAACACGAGAGGAGTGATGGCAAACTTTGTTCCATGCATTTTGACTGTCCAAGTGTTTGTCAATTTTACTGGTGTTGGGCGATCATGCCACTTTAGGTTCAAGTTTTTTTTTTTAAGAAATGTCATCATGGAAGATGAGACTTAATTCTGTGGTTATAATATGCAGACCAGGTTTAAAATGCTGAATAGAAATCATCAGAAGTCATATGAAAAAAAGCACATTAATAAAGATCCAACATCAAGGTGATATTGACTGTGTTTTTTGATTTGGATGAAATTATGTGATCTGAGTTTGCACCCAGAAACACTATGATGAATTACAAATATTATGTAAGGACTCAGTATTTAAGAAGTGATGTGAGTATTTAAGAAGTGATGTATGTAGAAAATAGTATTTAAGAAGTGATGTGAGTATTTAAGAAGTTATGTGTGTAGAAAATAGCCCCGAAAACGGGCAGTTCCATCCTTTATCATCGCGAAGCTCTGTGTTATATATGGAACATCACTGGTACAGCAATTTCTATCAAATAAAAACATCACAGTGCATCCTCATCCACCTTATTCACCAAATCTGGTACCATGCAATTTCTGGCTCCACCCCAATGTCAAAATGACCATAAACATTTTTAGTCAATTCAAAACTCTGAGGCACCCACAACAGCACAACTAAAGACACTCATGAAAGAACTTCCAGAGCTGCTACAGAAAGTGGAAAAAAGGTGGGACAAGTGCGTTGGAAGTGAGGTGGGGGAGGTATTTTGAGGTATATTAGTGGCAGTGTGGTTTTTACTCTGAGAACTTTCAAAAATTTAAACATTTGCCATATGTTTTAATCATACCTTGTATATAAAGCTCTGGCTATTTTTTTTTTTTTTTTTTAATGGCTTGAAGAGTTTGCCACTCTAATTGGAAAATCACAAACCTGGCATCTTCAGAGAGGAGCTCTTTCCTGCTGACAGATCATGCACAGAAAGTAGGTGGAGAAGCTGGAATGCTCAGGAGCTTTGGAGGGGGCGCTAAAGGCAGATAACCAAGCCCCAAACCAGCTAGCTGACAGCTGTGTCAACACAATCACAGTTTTATCCAACAGCTAAACTAAAAATAACCTATTGCTTTACCACAGCAGGCCTGCCTGGTTCGGAGGTGCAGAACAAATGCTGAAACACAGGCTGCTGCTGCATATCCAACAATGGTAGGTGTAATGATGTCAAGAAGGACTCAGAGACTGGAACGTGCTCATCACCTAGAACAACAACCACTCACCATGCTCAATTTATTCAGCAAATCCATTTTATCTCTTTTAGTAGCAATTTATTTGTGTTTCTTCAAAGGGCAATCAGGATGTGCTACTGGCTTCTTTCTGATGCCTTTGGTGATTATGCTTCTTGGATATTTTATTTGTGTTAATGATGTAGCTGGTTCATTTTGAGTGAGAGAGTAACCATTTATTAAACTTGAGATCTTTGAGGGCAAGAATCATGTCTACCCAGCTTCATAACTCTAGAACCTAACAAGTCCTAGAAATTTAAAAAGGTCTTAATAAAGTATTGGTTAGGTAAATGGATGAATCCACAGTTGAAAAAACAGCAAAAATCCAACTTTCTGAAGAAGGTCTTGGAAATCTTCATCAAAGGCCTAATGAGTGGTCTGAGTCTTTTAGGAGTCAGTGCTGTTAGGCGTTTGTAAGGCGGAAGTGTAAAGAGGCACAGAGATGGAATCTTCCAGGCATTTGAAATTTCCATCAGGGGAGTTCAAAGGCGCTTTGCATAACTGGTGGGAAGCGGGAAGGGGATTAAGATGAAGGGTAGGGTGGGGGCTACAGGAACCTTGTAAGTTCTGCCGAAGAGTTTGAATTTTCTTGGGGAATCACGATGTGATTTTCAGAGGGAGAAGAGCACAGTGAGACTTCCTTTCTTCTTGCAAAATTTTCTTTGGCAGAAATGTGACAGGTAATTAATAGTAGGCACGGAGATGGGTTGAGATGGGATGGCAGAGACTGCCACAGCACCTGATAGGAGTTCAGGTGAGGGATGAGGAAGGTGGGACCTATGACCAGTTCTTCTCTCTCGTCCTCTTTCTGTCAGTTTTTATCATCAATCAACACATCACATCCCCTTTCAGGAATAGTAGCAGGTGATGGCAACTACCATGGAGTGTTGGGGCTTTTAGCTGGGCTGCCCCAAAAGGCAAGGTGGACTGAACCCTCCTTCTCTCATGAAAGAGATGAATATTTTTTCTGATACCGTAATCTTTGGATCTCCTCACCTCTTTTAGCAGTTTGTATGTTCATCTGTCACTTTGTACTTTTTCAGCAAGGGAATAAAAATGTATAAGCAAGAAAGGCAAAGATAAGGAAGGTGGCAAAGAAATAGGTAGATGGTAAGGATGCTATGTATTTTATTTACGAATAAAGAGGAATGAAATCTGTTGAAAGAGCAAGAGAGGATTATATTTTACGGCCTTTTACCAGGAGTCAAAGTTTACAAAGGAAGTTTGGGATAGATAGAAACATGTCCCTGGACATTTGCCTGACTTGTTTGTGGAAGTAGACAAACCCTCCCTTCACTTTCTAGAGCTTGCTGATGGGGGCTAGAAGGATCTAACCCCATCCCTTTGGACAGTGGTTCTCAACTTGCCCTGTACATCAAAACTAACTGAACACTACTGATGCCTGGCCACAGCCCAGGAGATTCTGACTTAACTGGTCAGGGCATTGTTTGGGAGTGGGTCCTTTTATAAAACCCTCTGGGTGATGTAAACATTTAGATGGGAAGAGAGCCATTCCTGTAGATGAGGCAGTAGAAAACGTTTTCTGTAAAGGACCAGAGAGTAAATACTTTAGGCTCTGTTACAACTACTCCGCTCTGCTGTTATAATGTGAATGCAGCCATAAACAATATATAGATGAGAGTGTACAACTGTGTTTCAAAAATACTTTATTGACAAAAATAGGCAATGAACTAGGCATAATGGTACATGCCTATAATCTTAGCATTTTGAGAGGCTGAAGCAGGAGGAAAGTCTGAACCCAGCCTAGGGAACTGAGTGACTTAATGAGACATTGGTTCAACCCCACCCCCCCAAAAAAAGATGGGATATAGCTCAGTACAAAGGCCTTGAGTTCAATCCCTGGTGTAATAAGTAAATAAATGAAAAAATTTTGAAAATAGGCAATGGGCTAGATTTGGCTGATGAGTTATGGTTTATTGATCCTTAGATACTCCAAAGAATAGCAAGATGGGCCAAGTTGCTCAGTGAGGTGTGAAGAAAGTAAGAAAAATACCCTAGGTTTAAAAAGACATTTGAAAGAATGTTCTAGTTTTATTTTAGCGCAGTGAGATACATTTTTGACTTCCCTTTCAGAAAACGCTTCAGGGAAAGTAAAGTGATGACTGACAAAAATTCATTTTACCATCCTACATAGCTGTCTATTCACAATGACACGTGGGGCCAACTTCACATTCAAACTCTGCCAACAAAGAGTTGAGATTGAAAGTCTTGGTTCAATATGAGTTAGCCTCAATTTATGGCAAAGCTGTCAGGTTAGGTCTGGGGAGTGAGAAAAGGAAGAAGTAGACTATTAACGTTCACTAAACCTCTGTGTTGTTTGACTTCTTAGGGAGACCAAGTGTAACTTTTTGTATTTTGAGGGGAAAAATCCAATTAGGTATAGCTAAGAAAAGAAAACAATAATCTGCAGCAGTGACTAGAAGGGTTAGACGTGAGAGACAAAAACACTTAACCTTAGAACATGAACTTAGAGAAAAAAACGTTAGAATCTAAATAAGAAGAGAATCTCTACAAGGTCAGGGAGATGAGGTGATGGACTGATAGATCTCTGGCGTTCTTGCATTTTCTCAGGGGGAATTTAGCCATGAACTGAACGTGCATTTTGCTTTGTTTTTGTTTTTAATCTGATAGGGAGACCTGACTTTAATGTATACTATCATTTCATGCTATAGGCATCTAGAGAAAGTATAAACATACTAGAAAAATGTACATTTTTGCCTATTGCTGTTTCTTTCCTTTCACCACTAATCTCATCCCTCTCTGGAAGAACAGTCAAATGACAGATGGCTGGGAATCGCGCTCCTTGTAATTGTGCTAGATGGGCTGTGGGGGTTACACTGTCCTTACCTTTATCCTGTCAATGTTGGCTTCCATCTTAAGCTGTTCTACCAGCTTCCTGGCTTGTGCTATGCTGGCGGTGTTGTTGCTGGCCATCGGAGCACTGGGTGAGTCTTTCAGACACTCTAGAGAAGAAGACAAAAGGAAAACTGTATCAGAATTCATGAGCTCCCAAATGCACAAGTTTTTGAAACAGTGGTTGTAGCCAAACCAGGCCTTCTTGCCTTCTACATACACCACATCCGATTACCACATCTGATGAGTTTTGATTTTCCAACTCTCTAACCTTCACCATCCCTTTTGCAGAGGAAAAAGAAAAGAAAGTTCACCAAATTAGGTAGAATAAGATGCACTGCTACATTAAGAGAAGAAGATGTTGAAAGTATTGCGATTTATAGAGTAAGTTTAGGATGGTAAAGGGAAGGGTGTGCATGGTACTGTGGTAGCTGCAGTGCTTATTGTGCGTCCCTGCTGTGAACCGTCCTTGGAGGAGGAAGCAGAGGGATGCATGGTCAATTCTACACTCCAGGACTCAAGACACTCTCTCTAATGGTCTCTCAATGGGCTTGCACCCCATCTTGCTGGTTAACTGGGACACTTCAGCCTATTGTACTGCACAGGTGCAGTGACAGGAGGCTGCCTTTCCAGTGTCACTTAATGCAGCAATGGAAATAGTGATTCCTCCCCATTCTCTTTGACATACAGCTCAATTCATAACTACCCTCTTTACCCACCATTCCTCAGGAGCACATCTGCAATGTCAAGGAGTGGGAAGGCCGTGTGTAAATTGTAAGTACTTCAATTAGCGTACTCATGTTTTGCCAAATTAAGTACAAAAGACTGATTCATTTTGTGAATATGGAAAGGGAGCACACACATTTTGAGAGTGGACTTCTGTGCCTGTGTAAAATAATCCTCAGATTTCTTAGCTTTAATTGTACCAAGTCTACTGCCCCTGGTGTGCTTTCCACTCCTTCCAAATGTTATTGGCACTTTACTTCTCTTTTCGTCCTTTCTGGACACACCATCTCACTTCAATAGTGTTGTTCATCTTGGAAAGCATCCTATTTCATATTTGGTGCCCATTTCCCCCACTTTGTGATTGGGTCTTGCTCCAGGTCAAGGTGGCATAGGCAACTGCAGGACCATGTGCCTTTTGAGGTCACTGATACCCAGTAGTGATGCAAAATCTGAGCACTTTAACTAGTTCAAGACCTGAGACACAAAAACATTAAACACTGCCTTAGTCAACATCAACATCTGAATCTTGTTCTGAAGGCATTATATTAAATACTATGACTTTTGCTGGCTTTGGGGAATCTTTTCTCTAGGGATAAAGCATGATCAGGTTACCTATCTCAGAAAGGAAAGAGGACATACAGAAAATATGAGGAAGAAAGAATAATCCATAATACATTTTATATGTCGTCTAAACTACCAAATTCAAAGACCAATTTTCTGCTGTAATTGCCAAAAAGCAACAGTCTTGCTATACATTTTCTTCTTTCTTGATATAATTCTTCAAGACAAAAGAAGAAATTGTGCATAATTTTCTGTAACATACAAGCTTTCTCATGGAGAGTTACTTTATAATAGATACTGCAAAATAAGCCAGCCGACAGCATTTGCAGGATAAATTGGAAGATAATTAACTGTTCCCTCCACTTATTTTCAAGGAGGCTGGGAAGAATAAAGTGAGAGAGAAGATGGAAGGGAGTTTTGAAGCCACAAAGACCTCCAAAGTGTACTTTCCTGCCCTTGAAGATCAAGGGAAGGAGAAATACATGTAAAAACAACAACAAAAAATATAAAGCTATGATTTCACCAGCATGGTCAGGGACCCAATCATCTCAGCCCATAGGGAAATTATAAATTATTGGCTCACAATCAAAGAAACATCTGACAGCCTAGCAGGACTTCATACAGCCAATATAGAGTATTGACTGATGCGGTAGGGTAATCTAACTCTTCTATTCCTCCCCAGTGCGAGGCAGTCATGATTTATAAGCCCCTGGACACTGTTCTGTGAAGACACTTTTCCTGCCAAACTGTGATAACTGATAACTATTCGGTCATCACACTAGAATGCAGATAGTATGAGGATCAGCAAATCCTTACTGAGCCTGAGGAAGACTGAGGAGTCTAGATCTGACCAGCTGCTCATCTGCCTTGGAATCTAACCCAGACCACACAGCAACTTGCAGCAGAGACCACGGTTTGCCTCCGAATACTCCATTCTGCCTTTTTCATTAGTAATGACCCTTTTCCCCACTTCTTTTAACAGTGATGGCAAGAGCCCTGAACCTCAGCTGGGTATGGTTTACCAAAAGATACATTCTGCAACTTCCTTTGCAGCTAGATACAGTTTTCTGTGAGCTAGAAGCAGAAGTGTCCTTAAGGGAAGGAGTGGTACCCCTTGTTTCCCCTCCTCCTGCTACTGACCATCTTGAATGCTCCTCAGTGAGCAAGCAGGACCTGCATCCTCAGTGGCTGTGTGGAGGCCGTGCCGGCTGTGGACTGGCACCTTTTATGTATGACAGAGATAAGTACTATCTTGCTCAAACCACTATTATTAAGAGTGTCATTGCCCAGTAGACCTAGTATGAGCTGATTCAATGCTCCATGACTTTCATTTGAGCATCTAGGAAAGTCTAAGTCCTAGCGCCTTTTCATGCTCCTTAAGAAAAGGTGTAAGCATCCTGAGGAGACTGACACAGAAAGTGTGTTGTTCTGTTGCTGCTGTCACATATTACTACAAATCCAGTGGCTTAAACACTAGCAACTTTTCTTGTAGCTCTGGAGATGGGAGGTCTGAAATGGGGCCCACTAGGCTAAAATCAGGTGGAAGCAAGCCTGTGTTCATGCTGGAGGTGGGATATCTAAGAGAGAGTCTGTTTCCTACTCTGTTCCATGTTCCAAGACTGACAGCAGTCTATAGCTTGTAACTGCTTCCTCCATCTTCAAAGCTGGCAAAGGTAAATTAGTCTCTTTCTGACTCTGGCTCCACTTCCGCCCCCTCTTCCACTTTGAGGAACACTTCTAACTACATTGCACCCACATAATCCTAGATAATGTCTCTTTCTCTGTCTCTCTCTCCCTCCCTCTCTCTTCCCCTCCCCGCTTTAAATCATCTGATTAGGAACCTTAGTTCCACTTGGATCTGTGTTCTCCTTTGCCATATAATTTAATGCACCTACAGGTTCTGAAAGTTGGGATGTGACCAACTTTGGGGAATGAAGTTATTCTTCCTACATGGAAGGAGATGTCTGCATAACAAGGGAATGGAAGCAAGGAGGTAGGGAGTTGAGATGTGGAAAGACCGGGACAGATGTCTAGAAATGCTGGGGACAGAAGACGTTTGAAGTCTAAATGGACTTCAGAGAAAAGGTGAACATAAGCATTGGCTTCCAGTTTTAGGCAGATACCTCATGAACATTGTTTTACCATATGTCCCTGAAAGAGTCCTGTGCCACTTTTAGAATCATTTAGTACAGGGGTCTGCAATCCTTGGGTCACGGAGCAGTAGCAGTGTCTGTCCTGTGAAGAACAGGCCACACGGCAGGAAGTGAGTGGCAGGGGCGTGAGCAAAGCTGCATCTGTCTTTACAGATGCTCCCCATTGTTCCCATCACTACCTGAACCCCGCCTCCTGTCAGATCAGCAGAGGCATTAGCTTCTCATAGAAGCATAAACTTTACTGTTAACTGTGCAGGAATCTAGGCTAGAAGCTCCTTATGAGAATCTAATGCCTGAGGATTGGAGGTGGACCTAAGGCGGTGAGGCTAGCACTGGACTGTGGCTGCAAACACAGATTAACATTAGCCAAGAGGGGTGACTCCACAGAGATTGTAATAAATCCATTGCTTGTAGACTCATATCAAACCCTGTCAGTGAGTGGCAAGTGACAATTAAGCAGCATCTGGTGGCAAGCTTTATAGTGGCAAGTGAATGGATATATCTCAGTGGTACAGCTGCATCTGGTGGCAACCTTTAAGTCAGAATCCAACATTTATTTTAGTCTGTGCTTGACTCACCCATTACTGATTTACCACTTCTAACCATGCCTCTTTCCTGCACTCACACTTGTCTCAGTCACAGTTCTGGTAACCCCCAAGCTAACCCTAACTAAATCGAGTGAAAAACAAATGTCATGGAGAGCTTCTTTGAAAAGGGGGAAGGCCCAGCGATGAGAAAGCAGGAGACGCTAAGACTGCCAACCAAAAGAAAGCTACATTTAAAAGAAAATACCCAGAGTCCTCCTTAAAATCACAGGTTCATTGCATAGGTGATTCACATTCTCCAAGTCTGCTTTGTATAACGTGAGTGACCAGCTATTCAGAGGAGCCACAGAACCTCTAAACTGCTTCACCACATGTAGACCAAGCACATTACATTACAAGACAAGCCTTTAGAGTTTCTCAAAAGGAAAAAAAACATGGACACTGTCTTGGTTACTTTTCTCTTGTTGCTGAGACAAAATACCCAACACCCAAAATGAAGGAAGGAAAGGTTTATTTGGCTCACAGTTTGTGGAAGTTTCAGTCCATACTTGGCTGGCTCCAAGGCAGAAGACAGCAAAGTAACAAGAGCAAGGGGGAATGGCAGCCGAACGGCAATGCAGCCAGAGCAAAAGGGAGGAATGGCGCCAAGCAGCTTCTTTCCCTGCCTTACATTGTAAACAGGCTACCCCCACCTAAGGGGCGTGTAGCCCTCACATAATCTCCATGCCCTCCTCTTGCACAGGCTCAGGATGTATACAAAGTAAGCACCCTGGCTTCCTGCTGAGTCACTTAACAAAACCTCTAGACTCCTCAAGTTGACACAATGTATAAACCATAACAGACACAAAGAACAGAGGCAAGTATTGAAGGCCACTGCCTCATCGAATGTGTCTGCACTGAGTATCATTCTTAGCAGCTCACCACACTGCTAAAGCTAAGAAGCCCTTTGCCTTCTTTCCTCAAAAACAAGACCTAGCTAGAAAGTAATCAGCCTTGAAAACTAGAGATCAAAAATGCCAGCCCCAATCAGCCATCCTTGCATTACCTGCCATCACTATTCTCTTCCTTGGTGGCTACTCTGTGAGGCAGCACACACGCACGTGCACACACACGCACACACACACA